AAATAGACCCAGACCAAATAATAGTGACACTGAAACCTCTGTAGAGAAAGAGTAAATTCTGCATGTTTCCAAAGAGAGAGGGAAGAAAATGTCCCAACTAAAAGATCAAGAATCACATGAAAAAATGCTCAATATCAATAATTATCAGAGAAATGAAAATCAAAACTACAATGAGGTATCACCTCACACCAGTCAGAATGGCCATCATTCAAAAGTCCACAAACGACAAATGCTGGAGAGGCTGTGGAGAAAAGGGAACCCTCCTACACTGCTGATGGGAATGTAGTCTGGTGCAGTCATTATGGAAAACAGTATGGAGAGTGCTCAAAAGACTAAAAATAGACTTAAACATATGATCCAGCATATATTCAGGCATATATTCAGAGAAAACCCCAATTTGAAAAGATACATGCACCCCAATGTTCATAGCAGCACTATTTACAATAGCCAAGATATAGAAACAACCTAAATGTCCACTGACAGATGACTGGATAAAGAAGTTGTGGTATATTTATACAATGGACTACTACTCAGCCATAAAAAGAATAAAATAATGTCATTTGCAGCAACATGGATGGATCTGGAGAATGTCATTTTAAGTGAAGTAAGCCAGAAAGAGAAACAAAAATGTTGAGTCTAAGAAAAAAAAAAGACAAGCAAACTTATTTACAAAACAGAAATAGACTCACAGACATAGAAAACAAACTTATGGTTATGAGAGGAGGAGGGTAGGAAGGGATAAATTGAGAATTCGAGATTCACAGATACTAACTAATGTACATAAAATAGGTAAACAACAAGTTTATATTGTATGGCACAGGAAACTATATTCAATATCTTGTAGTAATTTATGGTGAAAAAGAATATGAAAATGAATATATGTATGTTCCTATATGACTGAAGTATTGTGCTGTACACCAGAAATTGACACAACAATATAAACTAATTATACCTCAGTAAAAATATATTTTTAAAAAAGAATCAGAATGGCCTCAGATTTTCTCTCAATAAAGGAAGCTAGAATACAGAGAATACCTTCAGATTTTTGAAGAACAGTCATTTTCAACTTAGAATTTTCTACTCAGAAAAATTATCAAACAAGTGTAAGGGTAGAACAAAGACAGTTTCAGATATTCAAGGACTCAAAAATTACCTTCTACATATACTTTCTAGGAAGATACTGGAGATATGTACCAAAAAAGAGAGAGGAATGTCACAAATTAAGAAAGAAAAAAAACACAGGTCTATCCATGAGAATCACAGAAACCCAGGGTGACAGCAGAGTAGAATTCCCAGGAAGCAGTCAATCAAAATTTGGAAAGAGTGAGGTAAAAGGAGAGTCCAAAGATTTGATACTATCCTTGAGAACTTGGAACAAGTTAGAGACAGAGAAGCTTAAGGGAGGTGGAAGGCGGGATGGAAGGGAAGACGAAAAGTCCAGGGGAAAAACAGCTGCTCAAGAAAGGAAAGTATTTATTAATAATGATGATGCCTGTGATGATGCTAACCATGGGATTTTTAATTCAAAATGGCAGACTAACGTTACATCTCCTCTCTGCCTTGAGATCTGAATTAAGTAGATAGTAAATGAATTATAGTATAAACCACAATTTTGAAGAGGACTGGAGGGGTTCCAACAGTAGACCAAAGTGTTCAGCTTATTTCTACAGGGCAGAAAGTAGATGGAGGGATTTCAGACCAAGATGTTTATCAAACTCACACATCTACTTTTACTTGTTCCTAAAAAACTCTACCAAAACATATTTTCAATGGCATGAAACCACAAGGACAGAAAGTTGTATATTTCAGATCATCTCACTTTATCACTCACAAAGTAGGATGTGTTTCATTTGGTTTACACACCTTGGGTCAGTTCTGCCCCTCAGCTCTCATCACCTGGCGTCTTAGTGGATCTCACACAGCAGGGAGGTAGAGCAGGAACAGGAAGAGCTGCAAGGCCCATTCTGTTCCTGGTTCCATTCCTGAGGCTCCTTGAGTAAATCACCATGAGCCCTGGTGGTCCGATCGGTACAGTGGAGATAATAACATCTGTCCTATTTCCTTCAAGGGTGTGATTGCTGGACTAAAATGAGACCAGAAGTAGGTAGAAACTATATGTCCTCATCTTCATGCCTTGAATGTTAAAGTCATCTTTCTTTAACACTCAAGTTACAACGAAGCAAGGTAAGCCTGCTTAGATTAAAAGGCTCTCCTGCCCCATCCCATCCCATCTCATCCTCATCTACTCTTGAAAGTCAGTACCCACAGTTCTACCATCAGCCCTGAAACAGGTCGATCCCCAAAGCCTGGAGGATGGACAGGGACATGGCATGAGGTCGGGGCACTGTCCACTAACAGGGCCTTGCCCACAGTGCAAAATGTGATCCATTGTCCCTTGTTTTCCTGTATTGTTCGTTTTTATGAGGGGGAGGTAGTTAGGTTTCTTCATTTATTTCTGCTTGGAGGAGGTACTGGGGATTGAACCCAGGACATCTTGGGTGCTAAGCATGCACTCTACAACTTGAGCTATATCCTTCCCCACTCCATTATTTTCTTATTGTTCCAGCTCCCACAGAGGAGAGTCTGACTTTCCCAGCGTTTCACTCAGCAGGGTGCACAGGTCCAAACTGACCTGGACTCTCATTCTCTCTAGGAAAGCCCCTTGCCTCAGACACGTTGGTGGTGCCAGGATTGTGGTGGCCAAAGATGATGTTCCAGCATCAGCCTCCCTCTCCTGCCTACCGGCCCTGGCACAGCACCCAAGTTAACAGCACCAGTCCTCTAGGTGAACTGTATCTCAGGGCTTCATTGTTCTTTTTTTCCACCCAGTCCAGCCTCTCTCCATTCATCCAACATGTTCAACATCCATCCAAGAATACCCCAATAACAGGTGTAGTAGGCTGAATAATGCCCTCCCCAAGGAGGCTCACATCCTAATCCCTGGAATCTATGAATATGTTACCCTCAAAAACTTTGCAAGAAGTGATTAAACTAAAGATCTTGACGTGGGAGATTTTTCTGGATTATCTGAGTAGATACAGTATAATCACAAAGGTTCTTATGAGAGTGAAGCAAGAGGATAGAAGGAAGCAGAGGGAGACAAAGACACGTGACAACAGAAGCTGAGTAGAGAATGAGAGAAACCGAGATATGAAGGGAGTAAGGGGCCACCAGCCAAGGAAAGCAGGCAGCTTCTAGAAATTGGAAAAGGCAAGGAAATGAATTATCCCCTAGAGCCCCAAGAAGTAACTCAGCCCTGCCAACACTTAGATTTTAGTCACCTAAAACCCCATTTAGACATGACCTCTAGAACTGGAAGAGGATACACTTGTGTTGTTTTAAGCTAAGTTTGTGGTAATTTGTTACAAGCAGCAATAGGAAACTAATCAAACAGGAGTCAAAATTCAATCATTTACTTTGAAAAGCTGTTTGGCAGTATCTACAGAAGCTGAACATATGCCTGCTTCATGACTCACAATTCTGCTCCTAGGTATGTACCCAACAGAAATGTGTATATATGTTCACCAAAGATGTCTGCTATAATGTTCCTAGCAGCATTATTTGTAATGTCCCAAACCTGGGAATTACTCAAATGTGTGTCAGTAATAAAATGAATAAACTAAGGTATATCCACACAGTGGAATACTATACAGTAAAAGGAATGAACAAGCTAAACCCATAGACAGCATGCATCTCTTCAACACAATGTTGAGTGAAAGAAGCCAGAAACAGAGTATATTCTGTATGATTCAATTGCTAGCAAGTGTAAATACAAGCAAAAGTTACCTATGCTGGTTGAAGCTACTACCCTGCCCCCGGGGAAGGGGGGGAATATGAGGGAGTCGTCTAGAGAGCTGGTAATGCTCTGTCTCTTGATCTTAATGATGCTTCAGTTTGAGCAAAATCATTGAAATTGTAAAATGCACATTTATTAATATCTACTATACATTAATAAAAACTTTTTAAATGAAGGAAAGGAGATCTGTGCCTTCATGCAAATTTGCCCAGTCCCTTCCTGGAAACCTCAGATTTTCCCAAACCAAAAGGTGTGGGCAACCAGCAACCCAGATTCAGGATTCCAGCTCCCTAGAGACCAACTCTGGGCTGTGAACTTACTTTACATATATTTACTAATGGGCCAAATTTAGCGGGCTATTTTTCTAAATAAAGGGAGCCTGCCCAGAGATAAGTCTCCTTTTCACCTTTGAGGACTCAAAACTACATATTATTTTTAATTGACATCATCTGAACAACGACAGAAAATGGTCATGGTCTTTTCTCCACCAGATAATCGCTGATAAATGAGTTAAAATCATTGCTTCTTAATTTCGTCTCCCATTATCCCATAGTGGAGCTTAATACATAAAATATACTTTGTGGAATTTTGTTAATTAATATGTATTATTGTTTTAATGACAGTATAATAAAGTTATAAACTGATAAAAACAAAAAGAAGAACGGTTGCTGCCACCAGCACCCCAATCTGAAGTGAGACTCTGGCTTCCAAAAAGAGGATGCAGGGACGGGATGGGGAAAGAGAGACACGTTGGGGAACAGACGCATGGACCAGCCAGGTGGCTAAGAACTGAGGAGAGGGATGCACATATGGATGGGGGGAACCAAGGGCCGTCTCCCCTCAGTGGTGGGAAAGACCCTGCTGCTTCTGCTCTGGGCCAAGCTGCCCCGGCCAAAGCGAGGTGGCGGGGTTGGGATGTGGGGATACGCGTTGGGGGGGTATTTGCGGGGATAGAAGGCGGAGCTTCGGAGGCCAGACTTTGGCCCCTCGGGCCGGAACAGACTTTGGCCCTGCCGCCCCCACCTGCAGCACAGCCCCGAGCCGGCGCGTCACCCCCAGCGGAAACGCCGCGCAGCCCCGCCGTCTGGCGAGGTGCGCGCCTCTCGGCCCCCGCTCCAACGCTTCGCCGTTCGGGGTCCGCCGCACGCCTCTCCCTGCCGAGCTGAGGAGGGGACAGGGCGGCACCTACCGGGATCTGCGACTGCAGCCGCCGAGGAGTCACCGAAGACCACAATCCAGCCTGGACGGCGCCCTGGGGCCACCAGCGAGGAGGGTCCGAACGGAGCCGGGGAGACGGAGGCGCCCCGCCGACTCGGCAGCGCGTCGCAGGTCAGTGTGCGGCGCCGGCGGTACGGGCTGCACTTGGGGAAACTTTGGTTTGCGTGTTGGCTGCTGGGAAGAGAGCACCTCCCCGCGCAGCCCGGGCCCCGCGGCCTCCGCGCGTCCCGCCGGGTAAGCTCAGGCCCTGGGAGCCGGCACCTCCCGCTCACCCTGATACTGCAGATACTTGACGCCTATCGAGGGCCGCCGGGGTGCAGGTCTCTGTCCAGAGACTCTGCCCCGCCATCCCGGGCGCGCTTCCCGGAGCCCACTCTCCGGCTTCCCGCAATCCCCGCCCGCTCTCAGCACGAGCTTTGCGGCGGCGCGGGCTTGGACGCCGGGGGGGAGGCGGGTTTCG